TCGGGGTCTGTTGGAAAGCCAGCGCCGGCGTTCGTCTTGCCGAGGGGCCCAAATGAAGCTGCAGGTCGCGGGCCCAGAATCCAAACTCTTCGGCGGTAATCCTCCGTCCCACGTTGTTGGCATAGTGAGGAGATAGAGGAGACGTGTTTCCTGTGTTGTCCATGGTGGGAGGGACTTCGAGGAGACAAAAGACACGGCGGGCAAAGAACTCGGCGACGGCAGGTGTCATACCCGGGAAGCGTTCCATGAAGAACCGGATGGGCTCGCGGAGGAAGCTGTCGAAAGATTGGCAGGCCCCAAAGGCTGAACTCATCCAAGGGTTGGCATGGTAGAGCATATTGAGCAGCACGATGCCCAAGGACCATACGTCGGCCGGGGCCGTAGCGTACATGGGCGTAATAAAGTTACGACATTCTATTCAACGGGGGCGGAGTGAATGGGATGATTAGTCAGAGTCGAAAAAGGTGGGGATCACGTGCTCACCAAAGCTCATATAGGGCGCACTACCGCAGTCCATGTCGCCCGACTCGGGATCGCGAGTGGCAAGACCAAAATCGGTGAGTTTGACAATGACGCTACGTTTGTACTCGCCAGTCACGGGGTCTTGGATGCGCGTATCGGTGACCATAAAGTTTTCGGGCTTGATGTCGCGATGGAAGACGCCGTGGCGGTGGCAGTGAGCGACGGCCTCGCACATTTGGGCAAACATGGACGCAACGAGGCGGAGCCGATGATAAGACAGCAATTGGGACGGTTCAAGCCAGGCGAGACCAGCCGTACTTGTCGGAGCAGAAGACGTGGGAGACGAGGGGTCGCGGTCGAGATGGGACTCGTCATAGTCACGGAATTGCTCTAGGAAATAGAACAAGTCTTCGCCGGGGACATAGTCGAGCACGAGCAAGAGGTACGATTCGGTTTCGAGGGTGCTCCAGAGGGTGACGATATTTTGGTGAACGGGGAGGGACTGGTGAATGGTCGCTTCGAGAAGCTGCGCGTCTTGGTCCTGGGCGTGCTTTTCGAGGCATTTGAGAGCAAACAGACGACCTTGGGCAGGAGCGGCCGCGGCGGCAGGCGTGAGAGGGGGCGAGTCCTCGTCTTCACTCAAGTTCAAAAAGTTGGAAGCCGTTGTTGGTTGAATGATTTCCTGAACGAGATAGACGACGGCATAGGATCCTGTGGCCAGTTTGCGAAGGACCCGCAGGTTGGGAACGAGTTCAGAGCGGGCATGGACGACAGAGATGGGCTGATCGAGGAGAAAGCGACCAGGACCTATTTCGTCACCATCTTGGAGGACTTGTTCGAGGATCCTAGAGTCGGTGGAGCGCCTGGTGTGGATGGAGGGGGTGATGCGGGAGGACGTTGTCGTGGTGGAAGCGTGGGTGGATACTCGACGCAGCGTATTGTTGTGCATTTGCAAAAGTAGATATAGAAAAGTAGTAGTAGCAGTAGTAGAATTTGCGAGTTGGATAGACCGTTATTGAACTACGACCGATGCATAAAGGTGGGCCGGTGTGTGTTGATAAGAATTAAGGATAGGTAGCACAGAGGAGGCGAGCTCAGCACAAACGGCAGCTACAAGCCTAGTCTCGACGCTGTTAAAAAGGGAGGAGTAGAGGGGGGTAGAAGAAGGGGAGGGGAGGGTCAGCGATCAAATCTCTAGCTGAGAGAAGGCAGAGAGCAGCAATCGTCTTCGTCGTCGTCGTCAGTTGCGGCGACGAGAGCGAGCTACAGCAGCTACGATCAGCAACGAAGAGAGAGGAGAGGGCGGGAGAGTCTCGCTCGCAGACGCTGGCGGCAAATGGGCAAGGAGCGGAGTTTGAATCCCGGCCGGGTGGGCCATATGGAACACCACTCGACCGCATGCTGTCCTCGCAAATCTCACAAATATTCCTCAAAAATGTCACAAATATTCTCCAAGCACGATTCTAGCTGTCCACAACGTCCCCAACAGCGACGACGCTATCGTGTATATTTAGCCTCGCGCTCCACAGCGCAACTCCTCTAATCGCCCCCCAACGCTGTGCACATGTTGCTATTCGCCGGCTATCCGATATTTCCAGA